TGCTAGCGGTAAGTTATCGAAAATAAACTCTGTACCATCCGGGTTCGATCTATTTTGAGGGTGTCGACGAGATTCAGGCGACATCAAAACTACTGTCTAATCCAGTCGGGATGATAATACCTTTTCGAAGGGAAGAATAAATAAAATTTCATGTCATCAAGGTGGGAGAATTCGGCTATTATTCATTCATCATTTCCTAAGGTGAATACAGTTCTTTTATTGCCAGATGTTCCGCTGGTATCGTAGTCGATCAGTATCAACGATGATGAGCATCATCTGCCACCAAGTTTGTAAGACTAAGCTATTTGGAACGATGCCGATGATTAGTTTTGGAAGAATACATGCGAACAGGGGGGACATTCGGGTTTCCTTATTTGAAACCGCCATGTCAGTATGATCGATCAACGTAAAACATCTTCTTTAGTGAATACGGCGAATACTTTCAACCGTGGCCACGGCAGATGGTATTCATGCTTCAAAACCATCAACGCAATTAGGAGGCCTCATCATGTTAGTGAGCTTCATTTGATTTTACTTCCCAAAAGGCTTTCTCACTTCGGATTTACATCAATTTCAGCCGTCTGTAGGCCTCTATACCATCACCAAAAAGACTCAATAATGTTTAGTGCCCGCCAAATGGTTAGACAGGTCAAGCGCCAAATGGTTAGACAGGTCAAGCGCCAATTGGTTGCAAAACTTAAATTACCATCAGCTCAAGTCAGGACTCGCCTAAATCATATGCACAATGGAGCGAGTAGTGATAATGTAAGCTCACATTCCCCATTAAAATTGGCATTACTACTTTAATCCAACTAAGTAGTGTTGAAGGTGATAATAGGCAATTATAAGAAAGATGGTCACCATAATTAGCTTTGGTGATCCAGGGACCGAGAATTAATAGTGAAAGGAGGATCAGGCCTTGAATCAGCATAGCCACATGCAAACACCAACTTCGGGTAAGTAGCTACTAAAATTATCGAACGCCGAATACGAAATTGTCATGTAAATGACCACAATTTACTAACTGTTCATAAATAACAGGCCTTATGCGACTGTACAATAGTCTTAAAAACATATTTAATTTTCGCCTACGATTCAGCATCGAGCAGACCTAGCGGAAGAGGGAGTTTCATTAGGCAAGTTCATGCGAATAATGAAATTTGTAAGTCAGACACTGCTTCATTAGACTGTAAAACGAATCTTAAAAAAATTGCATAACTTCTAATCACCCCATTTCCTACATTCATACACAGCCGCATACACCAGCTGCTTCCCCACAAATTTAACCAACCCCCCCTCCACAGTGTGAGCCTCAGTCTGCGTTAATCATATTTACACTATAGTCCTAGTTGAGTCGCAATATACAGAGCTCGAGGCATGAGGCAGAGTCTAGATTCAGCGCATTTTACATTCCGGCGGCCCATATTGGCAATTCTCGATTTTGCGCAGCCTCTTGAAAACACAAGCAAGTATATATAAATGAGCAAATCTTGGTCTTCGAATTATACTTAGAATCAGCACGTGAAGAAACCTTAACTTCATCATGAACCAAGGAGTCAAAATCTTCTGCTACCTCCTGGCCTGTATGCTGATTTTCACCTTGGCAACGGCGGATGTGACTGAAGAACCAGGAACTGACGTTAAAGAGACTACTCTTGGAGCCTCATCGGAGTATCAATCCACGGAACCCATCACTACTACGACTACGGGGAGCGGTGGTATATTTGGCTCACTTATAAGTATATTTGGAAGTATTTTTGGAGGCCCAGCTGAGACGAAAACCACGCCCGCCCCAACGCCCTCAACAGGAGCAACCGCATCCCCAGCTGCTTAATCTTAGGACCGTGGCTGCAGACAACATTCCATTAATTTTATACCCAATCTTTCAGTAAATTGTTTATATGATGTGGAGTACTACTAATAAATACAATAAATTTATTTAAATATATGCGAACAACTAGAGCCGCATGGGAAGAGGGATACCAAAAGTGTTCAAGAACTGTACCATATGAAATTAGACTTTAGGCATTTCGCAGAAATCTCGCCGTAATTTGAGATAAGTTGAGATAAGTTAAAGCTCAATCCAGACATTTGAGGGATTCGGAAAGTTTTGGTCAAGGGATAGAATATGGGAGTAAATGGTATCTCACATTTATCCGGCCTCAAAGTTTAGCTTTACAGTTATAGCTATATACCAATTAAGTAGGGTTCGAAGCTAGTGGTAAATCTTGATTAAGAACACGTGTTTTAAGTTTGCCTAAATAAAATAATCATAAGGCATCACAATACTATTGAATTTAACTTAGACTTTTCTCTATCAAAGGTTATTTACTCCAAACAGGAAGACATTTTCAGTCCCGCCTAAGTTTCTTCCGCAACCCCAATAATATTCGAAACAAGGTTGTGGCTCTCTGACTATTATGCATATTTTCGGATGTGAAAATGCACTACACTACCTTGAAGCTAAGTCGTCGTCTCGCTATGAGAATTCTTGAACACATCCCTTCAAATGCTGGCATTCGTAACTGGAGGGAGAATGTCGAGATCCAAAATTCAGCGAGAGCTTAAGACGCACATGTAAAAACAAGAAAAACTCGAACCTAATATTTGCTCTGACTCCACTCGAAGTAAGGTTGTGATAAGGAAAAGTGGTTTCAACTCTGACAAAATTTATCTCTGCCTCCGAACGTGAGTTTCGTTTTTTAATAATAGGCGAATCAGTAGTATGATCGCACAATAAGCCATGGACACTCCAACTTATGCAAATGCCTCAAAATTATTTGGCGAAAAATACTTAGCCTCGTTGCTGGTCCCGGCAAGTTGCTCGATTTAAAGAGGGTCAATTAAGTAAATGTGCTCGACATATATGTCCGGTTCGTAGTTCCCATGGGAAAAAACCCTTTCGATACAAAGCCCCTGTCCATTCCTAAGTGGTCTTTGAAGAGAACGAGGGATCAAATCGTTCTAGTGGAATGCATTAAGCTGATCAATAGAAGGTAAGCTTATGTACCTCAGGCGATTAGAAGAGAAAAGAGATACACTTAATAGGTCTCTTAAGGTGATGTAAATGACTAGGAAGATTCAAGCCAAGAAATAAGGAAACTAAGAGATGATATGGAGCTAATAATCTGGGCAATTTTTCACTTCTTTACAATCAATATTGTGTCAAGCAAACAAGATTATATTGTAGGTATGAAGACCAAGATGTTGTGACATTTTGTGTGATCGCAGTCTCCTTTTGTGGTCTAGAAGTTGTTTGACCTCGTTTTCGCAACTTGATAATATTAGCAGAAAGACCTAGAGAAACGCACCTAGTCAGGTTCAATGTTGAACCACAACATTTGTGGTTTGGCACACAAGAGACTAGGGCATAGGAAGTGATAGACTTGGTAGTAGGGATAGAAACATGATAGACGTAGCAGAAACTAGAACTAGTTGGCTGACAGTAGGCCTGTTTTACCATAGACGTGGTCCATGAAGCTAAGGCTTGACGATGAGAATTATGCAGAGGCATTAGCCTCGAATTAGTCACCCAGACGCAGGGTATGGCCAATAACGCCTCGGGTGGCACAGATGGGGTGGCAGGAGTCGAGTGAAATATGTGAACCAGGGATAGGGCAGACGGATCTTACGGGGCAAGGAGAGACTATGGTAAAACCTATAGAAGGAGGACTGTGTAACAATATGGCAGACTCTGATCCATATTCCCAGCACAAGGATGAAGGGGTGAGAAAGCCAGCGTGGAGTGTGGAGAGTTCTCATGAAAGCCGCTTGAAAGGGTACACCATAAGACATTTAGATAAGCAAGTAAAACGTTGTGATAGTGAAGTTGTGACTCGAGAATATAGGATTGGTGATTAGCCCAGGGGGAAGGAGAGATACCACGATTGTTTAATAGACAATTGGCCAAAGGATCGGCTTCACTTGTCTTTTTGACCAGTTGTAGTGTGATGCTAAGTCTGGCAAAGCTTACCGACAATGCCGACTACGATCTCGGAGAAACGTCTAGGAATGTACCAAGTCCATGTTCCGACTCTGGACTAGATGTTTTCCTCTAGGTCTTCCTACCAATATGACAAAGTTGCGAAAACAAGGTCAAACAACTTCTAAAATAATATTTTATTGGATAAATGGAAAAAGATGAAGCCTCTACATGATGCTTACCAAGGAAGGAAATCATTTGCATGTTAATTGTGCAGAACCAACATTTGTCTCAGTCTAGTCGTCAGGAGCTCAATTATAGCAAATCGAAGGCTTCTTTTGGTGTTTAAGTTTTCGTTAACTCGGCCTCTATATTGAAAGGTATCCACCCTATTTCGTCTAAGGTAGAATTTTCTCACAATGATATGAGTTGAGCTGACGTTTCCATTGAATTTCACATAGCCTTGCTGTCCCAAAAGTTGTTCTCATCCAGACACCAGTTAACTGCAGTTTCGAACTCGCATCGGTTTCATCAACACCCTCAGCAGGAGTCGAACCGCGACAGTGTAGGATGGGAGCTTGACACGCTAACCAATCGGCTGCACTGTCACGAGCGCCTTTTGGGTCACAGGGCATAAGTGAATTTCAAGGAAGATCAGGCCTCTTTGCTATATCATATTCTTTGGTGAGAGTGCCGATGAAGCAAACGTATATTTGCTATAGCA